TATATATATATATATATATATATATATATATATATATATATATATATATATATATATATATATATATATATATATATATATATATATATATATATATATATATATATATATATATATATATATATATATATATATATATATATATATATATACATTTTTTTTCGCAAAAAAATATGTGAAACTGGCCCTGTTCTTTTTGTAAGACAGAATGTCATTATATGTTGTCTCAATCTTAATTGTGTTTCCAAAAATTATTAAAAATAATAATATAAAAATAACATTAAAAAAAATATATATATATATAAAATAAAATAGTAAATAAAATATTAAATAAAAATAATTAAATTAAATTAAATAAAAAATAAAATAAAATAAATAAAAAACAAATATGTAGATATACAATTTATTACTAATAAATATGTGAATTACCAAACTGGCTTTATTTATTTCGTGAGACAGAATGTCATTATAAAAATAAAAAATTTAATTTAATTTAATTTAATTTAGTTTAATTTAATTTAATTTAATTTAATTTAATTTAATTTAATTTAATTTAATTTAATTTAATTTAATTTAATTTAATTTAATTTAATTTAATTTAATTTAATTTATTCATTTTCTTGTCGGCTTAGTCCCTTTATTAATCCGGGGTTGCCAAAGCAGAATGAACCGCCAACTTATCCAGCACATTTTTACCCAGTGAATGCCCTTCCAGCCGCAACCCATCTCTGGGAAACATCCACACACACTCATACACTACGGACAATTTACCTTCCCAATTCACCTGTACCACATGTCTTTGGACTATTGGGGAAATTGGAGCACCCGGTGGAAACATGCAAACTCCTCACAGAAATGCCAACTGAGTCGAGGCTCGAACCAGCGACCTTTTTGCTGTGAGGCGACAGCACTACCTACTGCGCCACTGCTTCGCCCCAAATTAAATAAAAAATAAAAATAAAAACAAAATAAGTAGATATACATTTTATTACACATAAATATATGAATTACGAAACTGGCTTTATTTATTTTGTGAGACAGAATGTCATTATATGGTGTCTCAATCATAATTGTGTTTCAATACAATAAAAAAAATACATATATATATATATATACATTTTTTTTCTTTTTTTTATTTATTTATCTTTATTTAAATTTTTGCAATTTTTTTATTGTATTACTACATCAATTATATTCTCTAGTTTTAAAAATAAACTCACTTTATTTTTGTAAAGAAAAAACAATAATCAGAGACGCTTTTTTTCACATTTACAGCTTTTCACTAAGATACCATTAATCCTGTTTTGAATCTGCGGCCATGCTGACACACAGGCATTTTTAGCTCCGCCCTCTTTTAAAAAGAGCACTATCTCATTTGAATTTAAAGCGACAGTCCCCAAAACGGCCCATTTTGGATCAAAGCCTAAAAAAAGCAGTTTCAAAGAGCTGTAAAACATTATTTATAGAGTATTTTGAGCTGAAACTTCACATACACACTATAGACACATCAGAAACTTATTTTACACCTTTATAAAAAGGAGCATAATAGGACCCCTTTAAACTCAATGTTCACCAATAGCAACATCACAGCACACCCATCAGATTAGCCATCATACAGCACATATACACGCACAAATCTACATTCATTCTTCACTATTTCAGGAGAAACACATCAGGCCTCTTGTCAGTAATTGTATGACTGTGTAAACAGACAGAAAGCTGCAACTGAGGGCAGTAAATGCCGCGGTAGCTGTGTGTTTTCTGAAGTCTCTGGGCTCATTTGTAAATGTTGCATCAGCTTTGTTTCTACTAGCCATTTCCAGCGAGCTCTTTGGAAAACAGGACCGAAATGCGAAAAAGCGTTTAATATTGATGAGCGGTTTTAGTGTCGCTGTATTGTGAAGGATCAGATCAGAACTGAAATATTTATCAGTCAGGGCCACAAACAGTCACCTGATACTGTTTCCATTCACACACAGCACAGGCAGATCGTTCCTGTAGGAGCACAGGAAAACTCACTCGCTGTGCTAATTTAAATGACTCATCATTTATTGAAGACAGTTGTGAGAAAAAAGAAGTAAGAAAGAAAGTCACAGTTCATACCGTTTCTTAAAGACAAAATGTAAACTACTACAGGTCCGACTTTTCTCTCACTAATTCAGCCAAAAGAGTCAGATATATACACTGAACTCATGCACAATTGAGGGGAAAAAGGTTTGCTTTTTGGGAAGTTTTTCCAAGTTTAATATCTTGTGATTCTCTTTTTTTTTCCCACAAACGAATTTTTACTCACAATGTTATTTATTTATTTATTTATTTATTTATTTATTTATTTATTTATTTATTTATTTATTTATTTATTTATTTATTTATTTATTTATTTTAAATCATAAAATGACTTATTATTTATTTAAATAATAATTTATTTTTTATTATTTATTTTTTTATTTATTTATGTATTTTTTTATAATTTTTATTATTTATTGTATTTGTTTGTTTGTTTGTTTGTTTGTTTACTTTTTATTTATTTTAATGACTTTTTTATTTTATTTATTAATTTTTTATTTATTATTGTTATTATTAGTTAATTATTATTTATTATTTTTATTTTATTTATTTATTTAATAATTTATAATTTTTTTATTTATATTCATTTTATTTATTTATTTATTTATTTATTTATTATTTTATTTATTTTTACTATTTATTTATTTATTTATTTATTTTATTATTATTTTGTTTATTTTTATTTGTTTGTTTGTTTATTTTTTATTATTTTTAAGTTTTTTTATTTCATTTATTTATTATTTATTATTTGTTTATTATTTATTTATCATTATTGTTATTTTATTATTTTATTTTATTTATTTATTTTATTATTTAAATTTTTTTTATTTTTTTTTTATTTTTTTTTACGATTTTAATTTATTTTTTATTTTTATTGTTTTATTTTTATTTATATTTATATTTATTTTTATTTTATTTCTTTATTTATTAGTATTATTTATTTATTTCATTTTTTTCATTTGTTATTTGTTTATTTATTTGTTTATTTTTATTAATTTAATTTAATTTAATAAATTTAAATTTAAGTAACTTCAAAGTAATGTTTCATCAGGTAATGAGTTTATTATGGAATGTGTACATTTTAACCATCCAAGGGTCACTGTATAAGTGTATCAAAGCATATATCAGAACCTCAGCATCTGTTTGTCTTTGTGGTTGTGTTTCCACAGATGATCGCACGTGGTAAAAATGCCTCGGATCTTTTCCCTGCAGTGGTGAAGAACGTGGCCTGTAAGAACATCGAGGTGAGATAAAAAAAAGCACAAGAAAACCCTCACAGCTTACCGGACGTCAGATATTCTAGCTCATAGTAAACTTTAATCCTGTGTTAATAAGCAACAGTGACGAGGTTGAGTTTGTGAGTCACTGAGAGCTGGAGTGCTGAGTCACACTAGCACACACACACACACACTAAACTGTGCGTTTTCTGTATGTTTTGTGTCACAGGTGAAGAAGCTGGTGTATGTGTATCTGGTGCGCTACGCTGAAGAGCAGCAGGATCTCGCTCTGCTCTCCATTTCTACCTTCCAGAGAGGATTGAAGGTCCTGAAGAACGCAAAATATACACATAATGCATTATTCATCTAAACGCATAATACTTCATCCATTACTATATGAAGAACAACACAGGCTCATTCTGAAAACGTAGCCCTATATACATTTCTGGAGATTGTGAATTTTAAATTCAGCCCATATATATTGTTTGCAACCACTTTCCTTAAAAATATATATATAGTACATCCGATAAATAACATTCAGTCTATGCTGCAAGAGGCTTTGCTAAGTAATAAACGCAAAAGTTAGAGAAAATTTTCCAGAATCTGAACAAATAACACACCATATCCCCTCATAATACTGAGATTACACCAGTGGTGGAAACAGTACTGAAAAAGCATACTTAAGTAAAAGTACCATTACTTGCCTAAAAATGTAGTGTGAGTAGAGTAAATGTACCTGTTGTAAATATTACTCAAAGTAGGAGTAAAAAGTAGCCCTTTTAAAAGTACTCATGAGTAGTGAGTATTATGCTGTTAAAAGTTGATGCATTTACATGTAATTTGTGGATGTGTGTGTGTAAACTTAACATTCTGTAGTGCATTTATTGCCCAGCAGGCACACAATGACGTTAATATTAGGTTAGATTTAGGTTGTGATGTCAGGTGACCAAAATTCAATGTCTAGCCATCATCTTAAACCAACATCCTACTGATTTATTAATTTATTCATCAGGTATGGCAACCAAAATTCAACATCTGATAGATGTCACAGTGGTAACGTCCACACAACATCAAGCTGTAACATCATTAGACGTTGATATTTCGTTGGTTTTGGACATTGGACATTGAAATCGGGCTGACGTTGAGTTCTGATGTAAAATACAGCGTTTCCACGAAGTTAGGGTACAATTTCAATCTGACAGAATGTTGTCGTCTTGTGTCTGCTGGGTGTTTAAGGCCATTTCGGTCATCATAATGTGCAGTAAATATCCATCATCTTCTTATCAGTGACTTGCATTTAAACCAGGGGTGCCCATACTTGGTCCTGGAGGGCCGGTGTCCTGCAAAGTTTACTTCCAATCCTAATTAGTCGCACCTGGGCTAGCTAATCAAGCTCTTACTAGGCTTTCTAGAAACATCCGTGCGTGTGTTTAGGCAAGTTGGAGCTAAAATCTCCAGGACATCAGCCCTCTAAGACTGTGTTTGGGCATTCCTGATCTAAACAGTCTCTGGGTTAATGCGTGTAAAGATTTTGTACATCCTCTTGGACACTTTTAATGCTTCCAAGCAGTTTGCTGCAATGTAAATCACCCATGTCTTGAGGTAGTTCATTATAATTCAATTCACCTTCTGTGTGTGATTTGATTGGACAGGAACTACTGGTCTGATTTTTCTAATTCCAAGACAAGAAAAAATAAAGTAGTAACTGCAGGTTGAAGGAAAGTAGTGAGAATAAAAGTACAGATACTGCACTAAAAATGTACTCAAGGAAAAGTACAAGTACACATTTTTAAAACTACTCAGTAAATTAAAATTTCTGAGAAAAACTACTTTGAGTATTTGTAATTAGTTACTTTACACCACTGGATTACACTAATGAACTAATAGCCGAATGCTCACTAAACACTCTCCATGTGTGGTGTTAGGGGCGCATAAATGCCCTCTAGTGTTCAGATTTAGGCAGTTACCTTTAATTCTGATGTGTGAGACTCATTATTGGAACATCAGAGGTGAATTCAATTCAATTTCAATTCAGCTTTATTTGTATAGCGCTTTTACAATGTAGATTGTGTCAAAGCAACTTCACATTAATGGTCATAGTAACTGGAACAGTGTAGTTCAGTTTTTAGTGTTTAAGTTCAGTTCAGTTCAGTTTAGCTCAGTTCAGTGTGATTTAATCATTACTGAGAGTTCAAACACTGAAGAGAAAATGAATGAATAAATGTGCTGTCTTCAGGACCCGAACCAGCTGATCCGAGCGAGCGCTCTGCGTGTGCTGTCCAGCATCAGAGTGACCATCATCGTCCCCATCATGATGCTGGCCATCAAAGAGGCGGCGTCAGACATGTCTCCATACGTCCGCAAGACCGCAGCACATGCCATCCCAAAACTACACAGGTACACACACACACACACACACGGAGACATTACACTTGCTCATACTGCAGTTTATTAGCAGGGTTAAGTTGTAGTTGTGGGTTTAGGTTTCTTGTGTGTATTGCCTCTTGTTGTTGAAACGCTGAATTCCTCCTCAATTGTA